TCACGTCCTCGGCAGCTCGTTCCGAGCTCGCCGAATCGGCCGCAGCTGCGCGCGCCGAGCCGCGCCCGCCCTTTGACTGGGCGACCCTCGAGGGAGGGGGCGCTCTGCCCGCCGAGATCGAAGCAGGGGCTCGCCGTGCTCACCGTAACATGGGCGGATCCTTCACCTCGGCGCGGGCGATGCTGGCGGAGGCGTCGGGGTTCGAGACCGACGGGCGGGACACCCTCGTTCCGCCCTTCTACGCGTCCAGGAGCAGGAGGGCCGCCACGCTGATCAGCTCTCCCAGCCCTGGCCGCCCTGCGCTCATCCTGTGGTGCGTCTGCGGCCTCTGCATCTCTCTGGGAGCCGCGGCGCCGACCGCAGGCCAAGGGCTTAGTCGGGCTGCGCCTTCCGCGCCCGCTCGCCCTCCGCGCACTCCCTTCGTGCGCGATTCTCACCTCACCTCCGCGTATCTCGATCGTCGCTCGAGATCGATTGATGCGTTCGAACTGTGGTTAGCAGAACACACTGGCGTGCCGCCCGCCACTCTTTACCGTAGCGGGATACTTCTCGCCCGCTTCCTCGCGACCTTCGGCGTGTGGCTTCATGATGCAGGTTTCCCTCATTATATTCTGGTTCATGCCATCTTGGGAATCCAGAGCGCTCATCCGCATTGGAAGGCCTTTCTAACAGAAGCTTGGGACGTAGCGAAACAATGGAAGCTCGCGGAGCCGCCAAAGCTCCGCCCGCCCTTACCTCGCGCTCTGCTGCGCGCTATGGTCGGTCTCTGTTTCGCCTGGGACTGGCCTGTGATGGCGGCCTTGCTGCTCATGGGCTTTACGATGTTCCTCAGGCCTGGCGAGCTGCTGGCGTCACGCCGCTGTGACTTGTCGCTTCCTTGCGACCGCCTCGAAGTTGAAGGGGATGCTTTTCTCTCGATTCTTGTTCCAAAGACCAGGAGAACGTACCCGACGCAGCATGCTCGCTGCTCCGATCGGGGCACGGTGAAGATTCTGAATCAAGTGTTTGGGCGGTTGGCTTCCACCGATCCTCTCGCCCCTTTCGGTGCGAGCGGCTTCCGTACTCGGTGGAATCATTTGCTTTCGGCCCTGGGCGTCCCTCTTGCCAAAGCGGGTCAGGGGCTCAACCTGACGCCCGCATGTCTGCGGGGCTCTGGCGCAACAGACTTCTATATCGCTACGGAAGACGTCCCTCGCGTCTTCTGGCGGGGGCGTTGGCGTCAGGCTTCCAGTGCTGAGCGCTACCTGCAAGCCGCCGCCGCTTCCACAGTTCTTGCTGCGCTGCCCGTGCCCGCACGGGCGCGGATCCTGTTCTTCGCCACCGCCAGCGACCGCCTTGTCGCTTCATTTCTCCAAGTCGGCCCCGCCGCTTGGCCTGCCCTACTTGCGGCCGCCCGCCGAAACCTTGTCACTTCGCAAGGTCCTTGAGCACGGGTATGGCTGCCTCGCCGTCGTCGGCGAGCAGGCGGTCTCCCCCGCCTGACGCGCGGCGCCCCGGCACGAGCGCGCGGGACGGGCCTGCCCATTTTGGGCCGCCCCGCGCGCGCGAGCCGCGGCCGCGCTCGGAGACAGCTCGCTAGCGCGCGAGCGGGAGAATGCCTCTTCTATTCTCTGTGAGCAAGCTCCTGCTGTCTCCGCAGCTTCTCTGCCCCCCTCCCTCCTCTCCCAATCTAAGGCTGATGGGCGCTGCCTCGCCGTCGTCGGCGAGCAGGCGGTCTCCCCCGCCTGACGCGCGGCGCCCCGGCACGAGCGCGCGGGACGGGCCTGCCCATTTTGGGCCGCCCCGCGCGCGCGAGCCGCGGCCGCGCTCGGAGACAGCTCGCTAGCGCGCGAGCGGGAGAATAATCATCATCCTCATCATCCTCATCATCATTACCATCATCATCATCATCATCATCATCATCATCATCATCAGCAGCACAAGCAGCATCATCGTTACCATCATCATCAGCAGCAGTAGCAGCAACAGCTGCATCTTGCGTCGCGGCGGCGGCCCTCATCCTCCTCCTGATTGTCCTGTGCTCACCTGCTCGATCCATCTTCACTCTATTCGCACTGATCGCCGCTTCCCCTCATCATTCCTTTTTCCTTCTCCTACTGTTCTTCTCAGCTGCCCTCTCCGTCCCCTTGCGTTGTCGTGCTGCGGTAGCGCTCCTCGCGTTCATCCTCCTCCTCCGTTTTCCACATCTCGCGCTGCCCGCTGCAGCTGCCTCCATCTCCGCTCTTGCAAACAAGTCTTCCCTGCCACACCCCCAGACGCGTCGGTAGGGTGGGCCAGGCGTTTCGCTTGAGACTTCCCCACCGCTTCACAATTCCTGCGATCCTGAAGATTGAAAGAGGCAACAGCTGTACTGATGAAAGAGGCCGGTGTCAAATGAAGCTCTCGCCTCAGCGCCGCGCGCATTCGTTCTAACGGTTCGCAGCAGCTACGATGGTGGAGGGGTGTGTTTTTTCAAAACGAAGTTCCCGCCTCAGCGCCGCGTATTTGCGAGGAACAAGCACAGGTAAGTTTCAAAATTGAGTTCTCGCCTTTGCGCTGCGCGCATTCGTTCCAACAGTTCGAACAGCTACCAAGATGAAAACGGCTTTTAAACAAAATAGAGTCCGCGTTGGAGGCTTGCTTAATAATAATATCTAACAGTTGCTTGGGCTGAGAGCTATTGCGCTGGCCTTACGGCCTGTGCCGCCGACCCTGGAGGCATCGGCTCTCGAGAGAAACGGGGGGGAGAGGGCGGGGAGGAGGAGGAGACGGAGGAGTGAAGGAGCCCAAGGACAGAATTTAACACCAGAGTGGCGTGTAAAATTCTGTCATCGTGTCGTCGTCGGCGTCGACGTCGACGTCGTCGACGTCGCACCCGTCGTCGTTGTCGTCGTCCTTGTCGTTGCCGTCGGCACCGGGGCCTCCAGGACAGAATTTAACACGAGAGTGGCGTGTTAAATTCTGTCCTCGTGTCGGCGTCGTCGTCGTCGTCGGCGTCGGCACGAGGACCCCCAGGATAGAATTTAACACGAGAGTGGCGTGTTAAATTCTGTCCTCGTGTTGTCGTCGTCGTCCGCGTCGTCGGCACAAGGACCCCGAGGACAGAATATAACACGAGAGTGGGTGTTAAATTCTGTCCTCGTGTCGTCGTCGTCGTCGTCCGTCGTCCTCGTCGTCGTCATCGTCGTCGCACCCGTCGTCGCGACGACGACGCGTCGTCCTTGTCGTTGTCGTCGGCACAAGGACCCGAAGGACAGAATTTAACACGAGAGTGGCGTGTTAATTTCGTTTCGTCGTCCGTGGTCGTCGTCGTCGTCGTCGACGTCGCACGCTTCGTCGTCGCCCTCGTCGTCATCGTCGTCGTCGTCGGCACAAGGACCAGAAGGACAGAATTTACACGAGAGTGGCGTGTTAAATTCTGTCCTCGAGTCGTCGTTGTCGTCGTCGACGTCGACGTCGACGTCGTGGACGTCGTACTCGTCGTCGTCGTCCTTGTCGTCGCGTCGGCACTAGGGCCCCAAGGACAGAACTTAACACGAGAGTGGCGTTTTAAATTCTGTCCTCGTGTCGGCGTCGTCGTCGTCGTCGACGTCGCACGCGTCGTCGTCGTCGTCGTCCTCGTCGTCGTCGTCGTCGTTGTCGGCACAAAGACCCGAAGGACAGAATTTAACACGAGAGTGGCGTGTTAATTTGAGATGCCTCTTGGAACGTCTGATGGGCATCTTATGTGCCTCTGTCCCTCGCTACCCCCCTCGCTACCCCGCCTCGCTACCCCCTCCCGGGACCCCCCCGCCCCCTCGCGCGGGGAAGGGAAGAAAGGGAAGGGGCTTGCCTTTGATTCAGAGGCGACATTGCGAATCCGGGACGGCGATGTATCTGACCGAGAAGCCCCAGGAGGGCGGCGTATCTGACCCAGGACCCCCCTCGCTAACCCCCCTCGCTACCCCTCCGGGACCCCCCCCCCCCCGCGCGGGGAAGGAAAGAAAGGGAAGGGTGTTCCCTCTGACCGAGGATCCCCAGGAGGGCGTCGTGGACGTCGCACTCGTCGTCGTCGTCGTCCTTGTCGTCGCGTGGGCACTAGGGCCCCAAGGACAGAACTTAACACAAGAGTGGCGTTTTAAATTCTGTCCTTTCCCTCTGACCGAGGATCCCCAGGAGGGCGGCGTATCTGACCCAGGACCCCCCTCGCTACCCCCCCCCCCGGGACCCCCACCCTCCCCCCGGTGGGGAGGGTAGGGAGGGGCTTCGCCACGACTACGATTTCTATCTGTTTCGTGTTCGATTTCCTTTTATTTCGAGCGACGACGATGACGACGACGACGACGGCGACGGTGATCCACGCAAGACGACGACACCGTGATGCCTCTTCCACACGCATATCTAACAGTTGTTTGGGCTGAGAGCTATTTCTTTGCAAATGCTTCAGATCGCCTTGAAGTTTATGACCATCAGTGTAGACTTGTGCAAGGGCTACACTGGTGGAGACAGTAATTTGTCAAAATGGGGGATATCCTTGGACACCTCCCTGAAATGTGTGGTCATACGTTTTCGAACTGCTAACTACGCGCTAGAAAGGTGCAAGCGCTGCCTTTTCAAGACTGAGTTTTCGCCTGCCCGCAGCGTCCTAGTCTTTCGAGAGAGCGCTTCCCGTAGTGGAAAGGAAAGCGTACTCTGGCATCGTGGTGACGTGCTTCGGACGGGAAGATGTATTCTAGCATCGTTCATGCATGTGTTGTCGACTCTGGTCCTCTGGTCATCTTTCTCTTCCTCGTCCTTCTCCTCCACCTCCTCCTTATCCTATTTATCCTATTCCGCGCGCGCGCTCAGGAAGGCGGAAGGAGTGCGGGCGGAAGGAGAGGAGGAGGAGGCGGAGGACGAGGAGGGAAGACGAGGAAAGAGGAGCGAAGAGGAGGGAAAAGAAGGGGGAGGCAGGAGAGAGGAAAGAGGAGGGAGGAGGGAAAAGGAGGAGGGAGGAGGTGGAAGGAAGGACGAGGAGGGAGGAGGATAAAGAGAGGGGGCAGGTGCCCACGTACGAGAGCGCTCAGCTGGCGTGACCAGTGCCTGAGCGGCATCACGGGGCGCATCGGCGTATTTGCAGACCGCCACTGGCTGGACGGAGACAGGGTTGCCGTCAGGGGTGGGGTGAGGCGCCCGGGAGTCCTGAGGGAAACAAGAGTCCCAGAGGTGTTTGGCCGCCTTCGGGCTCCCAGGGCCCTCGACCGACCCCAGGGCCGTCCACACAACTACCCTGGACGAGAAGCAAGCTACAGATCCAGGACCCGTGCCCCTCAGAACCCGCTCGCGCCAAGCCAAGCCCAGTGGAGGCATCGGCGGCCACGGCGCCCCTCCCTCCTCCTCGAGGCTCGGGGGCCTAAGCTTTAGAGGCGTTCCTGACATTTCGTGGTTTTCACGGAACTCTCGGAAACTCTGGGGGCTTCCTCACTTTTCTGACCGTTCCAGGGCCGCCATTGTGTTTTTTGGCACTCCTCCGGACGAGTCGCGCTCGGGAAGCGCAGAGTGGGTGGTTCAGTGGCCCTCTGGGAGCGTTTTTCCTTCGCCCAGGTTAGTTGTCACCCCTCGACGTCCACCCGCTGAGCACTCTTAGCTTAGTTGGAAAGCAGAGTTGTTGCGGAAGAACTAAATTTGAGTTCGCCCGCACAACGGAACAGTGCCGTTGCATGTTCAGTTCCCCTGTCCTTGTAGAGCGAGCGCGGCGTTGAAGCTGTTCTCTGGGCACCTTGTTTACTGTAGCGGCGTTCCCGTTCACACGAGCATGCTCTCGCGATAGAAAAGCATGGGAGTATCATCAGCAGTTCGAAGTCAAAGACGATGACGATGAATGCACCTCGAGCGGTTATTTAGCCGCCCAGCTCCGTACATTCTTTTTCGGATCACATTCCGCACAGATATCGGCATCATGTTCGGTCTTCGTTCTTGTACGCTACGACGCGCCATCCCTCTCTGCGGAATCGCACGATCGGATCTTGGACTTGTCGCAGTAGCCCAATATTGCAGCACAGGTTGTTGGGATGAGAGAAAGGGGCAGAGGAATAAAACTCGGAGTTGAGCGCACAAGGGTAGAGCGCTCCCAGCAGCGCGGGGCGGTGGATCGTCACACAAACGGAGGAAGTACGACAGCCACGCTACTACCGTCGTAGTTCGCGCCGTCTCGTTCTCGTGCTGGTTCCAGAATGGCTACTGTTGAAATCGGCTCGTTGTCACCAGAATCGGTGCAGGGTGGCTGCCAGAATCAGCGCCAGAGTCGTTAACGCGGAACTGCCAGAGTCAGCATGTCTGTCGCAATCGGGATTGTTCCATGATTTTGAGTAGGTTTTCAAAGGCGTCGGTGGTGCCAAAGACGTAGGTGATTTGATGCTATTGTCGTTGTCGCCCCGGTCGTAGTTCTTCCCGATCTTCACCTCCTAACCATCCTCACGACCCAACTGCGAAGGCCAGCGCGTAGTGTATTCATCCAGTCTCGCGCGCCCAGCGTCGTGGTAAACACGGGGCCACTGTAGGAGTGCGACGTTGGGCGCGCCCGACTCTGGCTTCCGACGCCATCTCCCATTGTTAGCCTACTCCGGCTTCCCATCATTGTGCCTATCGTCTTTTCCGCATCCAGTTTTTGGCTCCGTACCCTGTCAAATTTCCATTCCGTTCCGACCCCGCCCCCTATCCAATCCCGATTCCGGACCCATGGTGGCGATGCCAGACTCCGGGATTTACGGAACGGAGTTGTTACCCTCGATCGTGTTGAGTACGATTTGTTATTTGCAGCGGGTGTGTGGGAACGTGATAATCCACGACAACAGCCCCAACAACGTCAACCCCAACGACGTCGACGAGCCGATGTAACAATCGGCGAAATCGGTCACGCAGTTGGGGGGGCTAACATCACCAAGCCTCGCACCTGGAATTGAAGCCTCAACTTCGGGCCCGATGATGCACAATCTTCACACAATGATGGAAGACGGGATCGGACGTCGGAGTCGAGAATGATCTTCGCGGAGCGGGCGTTTGTGTGGCAACATTTCGCACTCCCTTCTGGCGCGGTCGTCTGCCACTCCAACCAGCCCTCTGGCGTAGGTGTTCTAAGGAGTTGTTCGTTTCTCTTCCACAACCCCCTTCTTCAGATTCGGGGAGGAGGTGAATTACCCCTACCCCGACCCCCTCCCAGAAGATGGCTCCAAGAGTGACACCAAGAGGATTTCCGATGTTCAGAGATGGCCTCCAAGATGGCTCATGACAGCCGAAGATGGCTGAATATAGCTTCCGGCATATCTCCAAGAGGCCCCAAGATGGGCGCAAAACGGTTCCAAGTACTTTCGTCATGAAGTTCCCAAAAACCAAAATCCTCAAACTTTTTGCCCCTCATCGTCGAGGTCTTCCCCATCCTAGAAGGACCCCCCTGCCCGCAAGTGGAATCAACCCAATTTTGAACACCCATACCGTGATTTAGCTTAGCAGCTTGACTTCAGGTGAGATTGCTGCAGGTGTCCTTCGCCGCCCGCATGAGGCGCACAGTTATACACCGATCATCAGGGCAATGGTGCTAGCCGGCATCAGTGTACCAGTTGATGCGAGACGGTGCGACGTGGGCGCCCATGTCGCCCATTTTTTCTCGCGCGCGTCACCCATGTCGCCCATGTGGCCCATGTCGCCCGCGCCGCCGCCCATGTCGCCCACGGCGCGAGCGCGCCTTTGCGCGGCGCCCGCGTTGAACGCGCAGTTTTTGCCTTATTTCCCAATCAGTGCTTGTACTGAAGGGGTCCTAGCGGATCTTGAAGGATTTGGCGAAATTTGGCGGCCGATATCGGTGGGCCGCCGGGTTCCTGGGTTCTCGGTTCCGGGTTCGCGGTTGTTGGTTCCGTGTTGATTTCGGTGGGCGGCGGGGTTCCGGGTTCCCGGGTTTTGGTCGATTTTTTATTATCGATCGGTCTCACCATCGATCCATCGATTTCACAATCGATCTCATTATCGATCTCACTATAGGTCGCACGAGCGATCTCACAGTCGATCTCATTGATTCGATTTCATTATGGGTCCCACGATCGACCTGACGATCGTCCTCACGACCGATCCCATGTTTTTCCGAACCTGCGCAAATTCGACGAGTTGCTCCTGTGGGGTCCAGACATTCCAACAACATTGCGGCTACAGGTCCCAACGGCTAAGATTCATGGCTCGTACAGGTTACAGGCGTTCTTGATGATGCACGTCGGGTACTGCGCCTGCTTAGCTTTAACAATAGTTTTTGCCCGACGCTTTTGCAGGATGCAGGTGGCGCGCTGCTTACCAGCAGTGGTAAAGGTGCTGAGGTCTTTGGTCGCACGGCTCATCTGAATATTCAGACGGGCAGCGCGCAGGCCACTCAGCCGTTGCAGCGCGACAAACTTCTGATTGCCAGCAAGAGCAGACTTCTGAGAAAGGATGAGCTCGGCAGCCTGAATGGTACGCGCGAGGTGAATGCGAGCAGCGACGACAGCCTTACGCACAGCTTCGGGGTTCCATGGGCAACCTGTGCAACGTTATCAAGACAGACCACTGTGATTACCTCAGGATGCTTGATATGAATATCAGCATCTGGCACGATTAAATCTTAATCCACGCGGAGTACCCCGCATGCAGCTTTGGAGTATACCAAGTCCTGATACAATGATTTTAAACAAAACACATTGGATTCAACCACACGAGGGGCCACGTAATACAAGAAGTGTTGTGGGAAATTCGAATCGCACACGCCAGCTTGACCAGCTTGGCAGGCACGACAATGTCACAACACTTGGTAAGGTCCCTGCGGACCGCGATGCTGGTTTGCCCATCGTAGCTGACCAATGCATGGCGCAACTCACGCTTGAACGCAGCTTGCAGGGCTGTCTTGCCTTAAATGGCAGTATACAAGGAAGCAGCATGTCTCACATTCCAGTCAGCCACGTAGGACCCTCGCATCCCCTATTAGAATATACAAAATACGAGGAATTTAGCGACTTCTGTTTTCACGCTATTGTGCCCTTAACGCCGCAACGAGATTCAGTGGTCGCGCGCCCCCCCGTCTCCTCGTCTCTCCTCCGAGGAAAATGTCCGATGCAACGTTGGGCATTTGCAAACAAGCATTTCATCATTTATTTGTTGGGAGCAAGACGATGACCCTGAGGAAGGCCACATCATCAGCCGTTCGCTGCGGCAAGATCCAGTGATCCGGGAGGTCCGAGAGAAACTCATTAACCCCATGATTTCCAAATTTGGCAGCCCAGAGGACCCCGCGGTCGCAATGAAATGCCCCAGGGCTCCACCTTGGTCCTGCTTCAGCCACGAGTACGCCTTCTTACCCCCTAGCAGGAGTGCCTTCATGAGCCGACCCGTCATGGCTTTAGTTGACGCCGTCTTCGCTGATTGCCATCGCTCGACACGAATCGGGATTAGCCGATTTAGAATGAGACAGCTTAGCTTTCCGCTCAGCAACAGACTGGTCAGCAGGAAGGCAAGCATCGAATTGCCGAACACGTCAGCTGAGGTCAGTAAGCCAAGAAGCACCGATGTCGACGCGAATGTTATGATAACCGTTGTTAGCAGCGGTGAAGGAACGGCAAAGCTGGCTCGGCAAAGCACCTGCTCTTGTCACCACCATCAGAAAAAGATAGTAGTGCGAACGCATATGGAATATGCACGCTCATGATACATGGGTGTTTTATGTTCGCATGCACGTACAATATGCATGTGCACATGTTCAGTAGTTCCGGACCATAACAAGTGCGTATCAGTAAACTCTTGGGACGTATGTTGACGAACATGCGGTGCATGCTCATGGCGATATGGATTATGTACCGGATGCAGCGATTGTGTACGCCCCCTACCCTCCCCCCTCCCCCCTCCCCCGGGGCGAGGAGTTCGCAGGGGCGTGGGAGTTACTGCCAGCAAGGCCGCGGTGTTCAAATCATTTCTCTTGCATTGTGACCAGGTCTGTGAGGTTCGACCTGGATACGGATTGATGTTTTGAAGAGCTTGAGGTTGGGTCGGGCGTGTTTTCCTATTTTTTCCCGCGCGCCAGCACTCC